TTTTATGTATAATCATTTTCTACTGTTTTAAATTAATTTTAAACCTCTTAAATCAATTTTTAAATCATTTTCAGTTTTAAATTCCTTGTTTTATTGTTGTGATCATTTTTTCATTTATTTTATGTAAAGCACTTTGAATTACCATTGTGTATGAAATGTGCTATATAAATAAACTTGCCTTGCCTAAATCAACATGCAAGAAATCTGTACGATTAATCGGATCTTTCTGATCTTCTATGGTGTCCTTTCTTTTCCAGTTTCATCCGGTTAGTTCGTATTTTCTGTAAGCATAGTAAATGAGCGTCTAATTAACCATTTGCATCAGAAGCTGCAAATTAAAGCAGACTTCTAATGATCTGCGCACTGAGTTAATGTCTAAACTCAACTGCAGATGTGAAGTCTCTTCGTACCGGAGGATCTCACAGCGGCATCAGAATGCATGTCACACCTGAATGGTTTCAAGTTCCTCTTGTAATCAACTGCGAAAAATCAGACACAGCGCCACCTACTGGAACAAACTCACCTGAACATGAAGAACACCTGCTTATCTTCTGTCATTTCAAAGATCATTCACAGGAATTTATTAAGATGCATGACTTTTCCACTCATGAAAATCACAATCTTAAAATCCCCCAATATTCCCTTCACCGGAGGAAACGGACTTTAAATCAAAACGTCTTAAAGCCGTTGATCTCCAGTGAATATTTCTGTAAACATAAGATTCAGTCTTTAAAACAAACAGCTTTAATGTGATGATTTGGTGACAGTTGCATAAAGAACTACTATTTTAACAGGGTTTCTGCAGGCTTCTTAAATCAAGAAACATTTACAGGAGAAATAACACGATGTGAAATAATTAGTCTTGTTTTATGAGAATTTGATCAAAATTAAATGAGTTTATGGTTAAGAAAAAACAATTATCTACCAATGGGCTTAAAAACATTACTTAATTCAAACAAGTTTTCGTTCCCCATTGAGATATTTGTTCTTGTTTTAAACGTAAACAAACTCACTCAATTTTGTTACATTTCTCAGAAAAGATTTCATGTGTTCTATCTGCATCGCAAGTATCTTGATTTAAGCATGTACTGGAAAACAAGACAAAAACACTGAAGAAAATATTAGTTTTAAGAGTACATGCAATATTTAATGCCAAGACTATCTGCTCTGATTTAATTAAGACTTTTTCAGACCGGTAGAAGCCCTGAAGAAGAACTAGTCTGACCAACTAGACGTTAACCAAATTATCCACATTTTTATTAAATTAACTTCAGTTTTCTAGTAAAAATGACATGACTAACTCATGAGACTAGTCTAAGCAGTGCGACCAATCGCAAGCTGCTGAGGGAAGAACAAGAACCAAACAACCGACGATTCCCCAGTCTTTTATTACAGCAAATATATCTGCATGTGCAAACCATCACAGCCTTTCGCAAGAATCGGATGGAATGATTGACCCGAAGCTTGTTCCATCCATCCGTTAACATCACAGAGGTGTCTAGTTTACGCTGTACAGGCGAAGGGAAGAACAACTCATCGTCCATCAGCTGCCATAAATACATTTAGTATGAACTGTACAATAAGAGAAAACGTCTGCACCATTTACATATAAAAGAAACAACGAAAAACAGTGTAAATCATGTTTAAAATTATAAGAGAAAAGTCACTAAGATCTGCGATTGGAACAGTTCAGAGAATGAAGACGAGCAGTAATTATGAGCAGGCGATGGACTCCAGCTGCTGCTCGGCCTCGGCGGCCATTGCTGCGGCCTGGAGCTGCTCGGTCTCGCTCTGCAACTGCTTGCGCTCGCTGTGCATGTTGTTCTCGTGTCTCTTCAGATCGGACGCTTTGGCGAAGGCCTTGGTGCAGGAGCCGCACACGAAGGGCTTCTCTCCTCGGTGGCGGCGCTCGTGGTCCTTCAGGTGCGACTTGTGTTTGAAGGCCTTCTCACACATCTGGCAGCTGAACGGCCGCTCGTTGCTGTGCACACGCTCGTGTTTCTTCAAATCCGGCGCGCGGATGAACGACTTCCCGCAGGCTTCGCAGCGATATGGCTTGAAGCCCGTGTGGATCTTCAGGTGCTCCTTTAAATGCGCTTGAGTGGTGAAGGCTTTGGTGCAGATCTCGCAGACGAACGGCCGGTCGGCCGAGTGCAGCTTCTCGTGTTTCCTCAAGCGGTTCTCGTCGATGAAGCTCTTTCCGCACACTTGGCATGCCAGCTGATCGCGGTGGCCGTAGAGCAGATACTCAAACTTCATATCGGCGGCGGCAGTCGTCCATCCCGGCGGCTGCTCGTCTTTAACATCGCCCATGCTTTCGGTGAACGAGAGCGTTTGGGTGTGAGCCGCCAGCTCTTTGGGTTCTCCGTCCATTGCTTCCACATCTTGATCGTAGCAGCTCACTTTGTGCTCCTCCTCCTGCGCCAGCACCTTCAGGATGTCCTCCACAGAAACTGATATATGATGTTACAGATTCCGTGAGCTCGTCCAGATCGTTGGTGGCTGCTTCAAAAACACTCCAATCAGTGCAGTCGAAACAGGCTTGTAATGCCTGCTCTGTTTCGTTGGTCCATCTCTTTACAGACTTTACTACAGGTTTAGCAGATTTAAGTTTATGCCTGTAAGTCGGTATAAGATGAACCAGGCAGTGGTCAGACAGAGCCCCAAAGCTGCTCTGGGGACCGAGCGATATGCATCCTTTATTGTGGAGTAACAATGGTCCAGTATATTACTGTCTCTGGTGGGACATGTAACATGCTGTCTGTATTTTGGCAGTTCACGGGAAAGATTTGCTTTATTAAAGTCCCCGAGAATGATTAAAATAGAGTCCGGGTGTTGTTGTTCTGTCTGATGAGGCTTTAGATAAAAATACAGTCATTTATAGGATTTGAAATGTTAACCTATTGACCTACTGAACAAAAAACGTCATAATTTTTAGTTTAGTTTGCAACGCAAAACAACCAGGTGAATAAAATAAATGTATGGAATTAAGCAAGAAATTGTATTGGCTATTTACCCTTAAAGGGACAGTGCACTAATAATATTAATAATAATAATAAATTCTGTCATTATTTACTCACCCTCATGTCATTTAAAACATGTTTGTCTTTCTTTCATTCTTCATTAGAACACAAAATAAGATATTCTAAAGAATGTAATGTAACCAAACAGTTTTGGGTTCCATTGACTACCATAGTATTTTTAGTCTGTACTACGGAAGTCAATGGGACCTGAAACATTTATTTTTAAAACATTTTTCAAAACACCTTCGCAGAAAAAGAAAAAAATCATACAGGTTTGGAATGACATGATGGTGTGTAAATCATTACAGATTTTTAATTTCTGGGTGGACTATCTCTTTACTGTGATGGTGAATGAAAATAATTTAATTAATTTTTTTACCATGGTACTCCTGAATGATTGCCATATTCCCGCATCATGGTATTTACATGGTACAATCCTAAAAGATTACAGTACTACCATGGCGCATGTCCAAAAACGTGATATTACCATGGTATCATTTCCCAAAACACTGGCAATACCATAGTACATTTTGAATCATCACCAAATGAGTTCCGGGTTATGCAAACAGTCACATTCTATCTGATGACATTTTATGTGGTACTAATTGGAATAATTTCAAAATAACTGGATAAAGTCCTGTTCTGGCAAATCTTTAGATATCTGAAATGGTTCGGTGAAATACACAACTATATAATAATCATGTATAACACAAAAATTGATTTGTTCTTTGAATTTGTTTATTGAATTTTTATGTCAGAAATACTATAATGAATGCATATTCTCTTCACTCATGTCTCAAAGGGATGAATGGAAACTGCAAAATTGTCAGAAATGGAATTGAGATTTTATTGGAGTTGCTTGCGTGGGAAACAGTCAGCAGGGCGGCGACGCTGCATTGGAAAACAAACAAGGACATAAACACACATGGGCTTCGTCTGTACAGTTTAAGGCTCAGATGTGGCACTCGGGGCAGGGAGAACTCTGGGATTGATATTTCAGGTCGTCATTACAACAGCTCTCGGAGAGTTTCATTCCTCTAAACTCAATGTTGACAAGCGACAGTTTTCAAAAGGAAACAAAAACAGGTGTATGATTCAAGTAAAAACAACATAACACGTCTCTAACATACATGTGTGGCATATTCATATTCTCATAATGAACATGTGTAATATTCAGATCAGAGATGAGGGTGACACGTGTGGATGGCACATCTTTGCAAGGATTTTTTAATTCAGATTTTATTTTTTATTCAGTAGGATAAACAAATGTAGATATCTGTAACTGCTATATTTCTTCTCACACATTCTTCAGTCCCTTTATGACTATACACTGCACTCATATAGTATTTACTAAAATGTCTATATACTGTAGTCTCCTCACAAAAAAGCAGAATTGTTCCCTTGTCATGCAGTAACAGTGATCCAGTGCGGCAGACGGCGCCTGTAAGCGTGTGAGTGTGTGCATGTGTGTGCGTGTTACTCCAGACGTATTCTGATGAAGTTTGCTGCGATTCTTTCGTTTATGCTGCTGTTCCCGTGGTTGATTTCTCTGAAGCAAACTTCATTTTCCACAGCGTGAACACATGAGTTCCTCCAGAAAGCGTGAAGATGATGTTAATCCTGCAAATGAATAAAACAGAACATTCAGTCAATATCAGGAACACTTTGTGCTTTCTGCAGACTCAGTGAAGGAACAGAGAGAACCTTCAGAGGAGCAAAGCATGACATCGGCTCAATCAGTGATGATGTCAAACACGTCATGCATTTCAATATTACACTATGATGACAACATAACATAAAAATACAGGCCCTCAGTAACATGCCTCCATTCAACATTATATCACTAAAACTAAAGATCTACATTTTCCTCAGGAAAATGTCAGTGGTGTTTCCCGTGCAAAACTCACTGCAACAATGTGTTCCGGCTGGTTACCAGGGCATTGCTATGTGGTTGCTATGCTGTTCAGGGCGGTTGCTATGTGGTTGTTATAGTGTTCTTGGCGGTTGCTATGGTGTTCTGGGTGGTTACTATGTGGTTGCTAGGGTGTTCTGGACGGTTGCTAGGGTTGTTATGGTATTCTGGGTTGTTGCTAAGGTGTTTTGGGTGGTTGCTACGTGATTGCTAGCATTGCTATGGTGTTCTGGGTGTTCTTGGTGGTTTCTTTGTCGTAGCTAGGGTTGCTATGGCGCTCTGGTTGGTTGCTAGGGTATTATGGGTGCTTACTATGTGGATGCTAGGGCTGTTTTGGTGTTCTGGGTGGTTGCTATGGTGTCCTGGGTGATTGTTACGGTGTTCTGGGCAGTTGCTACATGGTTGCTAGAATTGCTATGGTGTTCTGGGCGTTACTAGGGTGTTCTGGGTGGTTACTATGTGGTCGTTAGGGTTACTATGGTGTTCTGGGTGGTTTCTAGATTGATTTTGGCGGTTGCTAGGTTGTTATGGTGTTCTGGGTGGTTGCTAGGGTGATCTGGGCAGTTGCTGTGTGGTTGCTAGGGTGTTCTAGGTAGTTGCTATGTGGTTGCTATGATGTCTGAGCTATGGATGCTATTTAATTCTGAGTGGTTGCCCAGATTAGTAAACAGATTAGTAAACAGCTAGTCAACACTATTAATCTCTGTGAACGTCCTCATGTGGTCACATGACTTATGGAGATGATCTGCAGTACCGCTCTCTACCAGCAGAATGCAGTGTGTTCAACCACATCTGCTCCTGATCTCACACACAGACGATCATCATGTTATTCTGTTAGAGGTGTGAGTAGTTAGTTCACATTCTGAAAGCAGCAGTCAGACGTCCGCAGATGTAAACAGCCAAAGCAGCACCGGTGTTAGAACAGCAGCCAATACCAGTGCTCCAAAGCGCAGCGCAGCCAATCAGCTTGCAGTCAGCCAAGCCTACTCAAGCTGTGATTGGCTGTGGTCTTACCTGCATCACTCCTCCGGCGTGATCTCCGTCTCTTTATGCACCACCACTTTGGTCACTGACATGTCGGGATGTTGTTCTTTAGCCTCTTTAATGGCCTGAGCCAGAGCCTGACCCATAGTAACACCACATCATCATCATAGGCCACGCCCCCAACACCCACATCAACATCACAGCAATTAATCCGAATAATTAATCTGAATTAATTCCCCCATATGTCCCTGCTTGTGCTCTGAGATCGAGTTCTGAGAATTTGCATGCAGTACCTAAATTCCGACTGGTGTGGGTGGCAGGGCTTTCAACATCTCAGCTCCTAAACTCCGGAACAAACTTACACAAAACCTCCGTGCTGTCTCTTCACTCCAGACCTTTAAAACTGTTCTCAAAACTCACTTATTTACAATATGTTTTGTTAATTGATTGTAGCAGACTGCCTCAATTTTCAGCTCTATGCTTGCTTTCGTTACTTTTCTTGGATTATATGATCTCTTTCTGCTCTATTTGCTTGATTATGTGACTGTATATCTGTTGTTCATGTTATCTATCAACTTTATGTAAAGCGCCCTTGGGTCCTTGAAAGGCGCTATATAAATAAAACATATTATTATTTATTATTATTATTATTATCACAGCCACGCCCCTCAACACCAACATCACAGCCACACCCCTCAACACCCACACCATCACAGCCACGCCCCTCAACACCCACACCATCACAGGCCATGCCTCTTAACACCCACATCATCACGACAGCCACGCCCTTCAACACTCACATCATCACAGGCCACGCCCACAACTACTCCTGTCACGTTCATGATAAACACTGATGCAAACTGCTGAATCTAGTCATTAGAGTTCATACAGGATCATTCTACAAAACCACAGTCACCATCTGCAAACAAACCATCAGATGATCAACTTTACTATGTTATGACAATACAGTAATCTTTCTGAACTAAAATCCAGCAACTTATGCAAAAATTATTCAATCTTTTTATCTTTTTTTCAGGAAGTAATCTCTTAAAGCACAAGTTAAAGTCTTATTTTGTAATATTCCTCTTATGTTTTATGTTGTTTGTTTAGAGGATGATCTTTAAATGTCAACATTATTACCATGATGTTTTTGTAGAAATATCAGCATGAAATTTAACATATAAGTTCACATTCTTAAGCACAAGGCCTGTAATTTCACATTAAAATGATCTAAAGGAATAATTATACTTGAATTTCTTTAAAACTGTAGAAGAGGTGGCATTTGATAGAATGACCCTGAAGGAACCGTATTAAAGGCTCACCGAAGGTCTCACCTCGTCATGATCGATGTCTGCATCTCCTGAGATCACGATTCTCTTCTCAATCCGTGTTTCTGAGATGCTGCCCTTCACCATCTGTCAAACACACACACACACACATCCGTTATGACACTCGTCTGTCAGACGCTGATGGTTCTGATGGTCAGTAACGCAGCAGCGGTCAGCACCTTGGTGATGTGTGTGGTGGTGGTGGTGCTGGTGGTTTCTGATGTGATGGTCTGAGCGCTCAGCAGAACGCCAGGATCAGTGTCTCCGTCCGTCTCACCCTGCAACGATTATTAAAATTATTACAATTTAAATCAGCTGTTTTCTCTGTGAATATCTGTTAAAATGTAATTTATTTCTGTGATCAAAGCTGTATTTTCAGCATCATTACTCCAGTCTTCAGTGTCACATGATCTTCAGAAATCAGTATAATATGCTGATTTGCTGCTCAACAAACATTTCTGTAAATGTAAAATTCCTGATGAGAAATAAAATAGACTCAAATGAGTCACTAGTCATCATTCAGTAAGAGTCTAGAGCTGTAAAATGAATGAGGAGCAGCTCAGAGCAGCCGATGAGAAATGTTTGAGTTCATACTGAGATCTCTGACTTTGGTTTCTTGGCTGATCTGAGCACAGTTCGATCACAAAAGATCACAGAAAACCTTTACTCAGGAGAAACATCCGAGACTTCAACAGACATCTACATTTAATCTCACTGCTGTCTTGAAGGAGCGTGTCTGAGATGTGATTCTTCAGTGTGTTTGTGGTGGATGAGATGAGTGTGAGTGACACACCTGCAGGGACTCGTATGTGATGGTCTTCATCTCCGTGTGGATCTGTGTGTCCGTGTCTCCTGACAGAGTCCTGGAGAAACTCACCACACCTGACTGCAGAACCACAGAGAGAAGAGAGACACACACTCACTCTCACACACACATTGAAACACACACACACACACACACACTCTCACACACACTCAGTCTCACACACACACACACACACACACATTGAAACACACACACACACGCGCGCACACGCGCACCCGTGTAATGAAAACTGAATCTTCTCATAAGAAGCTCTTTGTCAGTCTAAGAGTCATCACAAACACACACGGTATGCCGGCGCTAGTGAGGAGAGAGCGGATGTTAGGGGTTTCAGGTTTGGGGTCAATCTGTTGGTTTGGGGTCGCGGGGTCATGAGGTCACCTCTTTACCGGCGGTCAGTTCTACCGCCCCACTGTGACCCTCAGCCACATCCCTCTGCTCGGACGGGCTCATGTTGGGTGACTGCTCATCATCATCATCATCATCGGTGGACAGAGAGAAGCTCTCTCCTCCAGACTCACTGTCGCTGTGGGAATCGGCCCTCGCGGGGCCCGCATGTGTGAGGGGCCCGGAGAAGTTAGCCGAGTTTACACTGCCGGAGTCGCTGGAGTCGTCGTCAGACTCATCGAGGGACTGCACTGAGCTCAGCGGCTCCACACACGCAACACACGCTTGATAATACAGCGCAGGCTCCAAGGGCCCCTCTGGAGGTTCAGGTACCTGAGGCTGGTCCAGCGGTTCCTCTGCCGGCGGCTGCTGATCCTCTTCTTCAGCCGGATGCCTCTCTGGACTCTCTGAAGGCTGTCAGACAAATAAAGAATATATGATCAACAGGCAGAAAACCAAACAGAAACTGAATGATCTGCTTTTATATCATCTACAGCTGTTAGTAAAATACAGCTTTGTCTGTTTGAATGGAAATAAACTAACATCTCTAGAACTGTTCACCGCGATCACACTACAATAACATGTCAAACCAGCAATAATCACAGCATTAGTTTAGCTGCTTTAGCTCAAATCAAACTCTTCAGCACAAATGTGATTGGCTCATTTGACTGAAAGGTGGGACTTCCTTTTATTATTATTTATATTCTATTATAGCATTCATTTATATTATATTTTTATATTTTCAGTATATATTTTATATTTAGCTTTTATTTCAATTTTAATCATTTTAATACTTTTCCTTATTTTACTTTTAATTTTCAACAAATAGTTATATTTAATTTTATTTTAAGCTTTATTTAAATTGAAAATGAAAATTATTTTAATAGTTTTAGCTTTAGTTAGTTCCAGTAATATATATGGAGTTTATTATTTTTTACCTTAATTTGCATTTTGTTTTTGTCTTTTCCAGTATAAATACCGAAACATTCCTAAATAAAAATACATTTACCTGAAAAGAAAAATTACGAAAGATATTAATTCTCGTTTTCTGATAAAAATGATCAAAATTAATCAAGTTTATGGTCAATGGAGTAAAAAATAATACTCTTGTTTTCCATGTGAATTAAGTTGATTTTTCTAACCAATTTTTTATTCTTGTTTTAAGTATAAACTCACTTCATTTTACTAAATGTTTCAAAAAACAAGACTTAATATCTTAAGTAATTTTTGCTTCTCCAGTAAATGTATCTTGATTTAAGAATATTTAGATATTTATACCGGAAAAGACAAAAACAAAATACAAAAGACCAAATACTAAGCACAGTATCAACACTGCTCCTGTTTGATGCTCAGCTCCATTCAGTTCAGTTATGAAGTGCTTCTGACAATCACTATTGATCTAAATGAGGTTTACAGAGTAGCATCTCTGAGGTGTTTGACTAAAACCTTGAGAGGAACATGAGAAGCTCTTTCTCCTCCTTATTCTGTCCTCGTGAGAACAGATGAAGGAACAGATCTGCAAACTGAGTCTTTACAAAAGAACTGTTGCTGTAAATCAGAGCAGAGATGAGAGATGGGCTGAATGACACGATGTCTGACAGACACGAGGCTGATCGAGGACAGACGCTTAAACGCCGCGGGCATCAGAATATATGAACTCAGATCGATACGCAGGCTGGTTTCTAGAGTTTCTCCAGAGCTGCACCTTGTGTAAAGCCTGCGGCTGCACGATCAGAGCCGGAGACGCAGACGCAGACGGAGCCCAGCTGCGAGTGGACTGCAAGAGCGCCGTGAGCTCAGGAGACATCTCATCGAAACTGGGCTTAGGCTGAACACAGAGAGACACACAGCGTTAAACACACACACACTCACACGCACACACTCTCTCTCACACACACAAGAGCATTCTGGGTAACTCAGGGGATGAAGGGTCTCATTTAGGGCTTATTCATAAGAGAACACCTGCTGCACTGTATATGCATCGTGCAAAGAATTCACTTAATAATTTACAATAGGAATAATGCATTTTTTTAAATGCATTTTTTTTGGCTTAAAATCAGAGTTTAGTCTCATTTACAGGTCAAAAATAAAGCTGCATGAATGATTTTCTTCACCAAACACACCAGTGACAAACGCTGAGTTTGAGTGGATTGGTTTATGATGCGCAGTGCCGTTTTTTATAACTTTTGACCAGTAGGTGGCGCTAACACCAAACTGATGCAATGATGCCTACAAAAGTTCATTTGCAGAAGTGCTGCATCGCCAGCAGATTTGTTCGTTTTTTATTAGTCTGGGTCTGAAGATCTGATTTTTTCTGGTGTTAAAACAGAGTAGACACGTGGCCATCATTCAGATGAATGATGAAAGCATTCTGCAAACATCCAGTAATATATGGAGTTTCACACTGCAAACAATGATTTCTTTCTCAGTATTGTTGTCTTATTAACATTACTTGAGACATTTACTAAGTCTTATTTTTGGATAAATTGAGTGAGTTTATGCTTAAAACAAGAAAGATTATCTGCCAATGCAGTCAGAAACATAAACCTGTTTTCTTTGTGAGTGTTCTGACCCCGCCGGCAGACATTTATTCCTGTTTTAAGCTAAAACTATACAATTATTTTCAGAAAACAAGGCTTAATATCTTAAGTAATTTTGCTTTTCAAGTAAATGTATCTTGGTTTAAGTATGTTTAGGTCAGAGGTATACCATTTTTTTAATATTAAGGGCCAAAATTCAAACTTGATTGAGGTTCGTGGGACAAACGTAAATTTTGCCTTTGGTTTAATATAATACAATTGTATTAAAATGTTTTAAATTTGATTGTTTATTACATTTTTAATACATTTTTTAAATAAATTAAACAAAGTAGATTAAATAATTATAACTCTGCTTCACGTCGTACCTAACAACGCTGTTATAAACTCACTGTAAACCACAGCTTCACGGGGCTTATTGCTTTAACCTAATATCAAATGTGGTTATGCTTCTCAAGTAAATGTATTCTGATTTAAGAATGCTCAGATATTTGTACTGGAAAACAAGACAAAAATACTAAGCAAGAAAATCATGTTTGTTTTTTTGCAGCGAGATGAATGAAATCACATTCATGTATATTGAAGAGCTTCTGCAGCCGTTTGACTCGTGATCTCTGAAGATAAAAGAGACTCTCTTATGAATAAACCCTGGGATCCAGCAGCAGGCAGAGCGCAAGACAAAGATGCGTTCGTTCCTCAGTCGTGACTAAAGCAAAGCAGCGGCATTCTCCAAAATAATAAAGAAAACGTGCTCCTGCTCTCAGGGTCGGCGAGAAGAGGCTCAAAACAACAAGCAGCGGCAGCAAATCACAGCCGGAGGGATTCGTGTCAGAACAAAACAACCAAACTCAAATCAGGAGCGCGTGTGGAGCTCTGGAGTGTGTCTGAGATCTCAAAGCCAGGCCGAGGACGAGCGAGACGTCGGGAAATCCTACCACTCGAGCCGTCGGAGACGTTCCGCTGAGATCCACAGGAGAGCGGAGACGCATCTTACTGAACTGCTCGGACACAACGGAGAAGCCTTCTTGAGATCTGGGCTTGTCTTCAGGAGGCTCGGCGGATGTGAATCTGTAGCTGGCGATGTGTTTCTTCTCTGGAACCTTCGGGGGGACTTTTGGTGGTACTTTAGGAGGAGCGTCTTCTGAAGAACCAACAGAAGGAACCTTTATGGGTTCAACCTTCCCTCTGACTACCGTAGAAACCTTTTCTGGCACCTTCGGAGGAGTCTTCTTTGGAGAAACCTCTTCGGCTCCGACGGATGAGGGTCTTTCTGGAGGAAACTTCTCCTGTACTATGCTAGAAACCTTCTGTGATGTCTCCGAAGCTGTTTTTGTTGGAGGAACCTCTTCAGATGTGACGGAAGAGGGTTTTTCTGGTTCCGCTGGAGGATGTTGTTCTTCTACTACGGTGGAAACCTTCTCTGGTATCTTACGAGAAACCGTTTCAGCTCCGGCTGGAGGACGTTTATCTGGTTCAAACGGAGGAACCTTGTTTATAATGACCCACCCGTCAGACTCCTACATGTAACACACAAAGATCATGTTAGCAGGCTGGAGTTAAAGCACCGTTAGTCACGCCTGATCCATGAAGACTGAGACACACAGACGGATGCTGCTGAGCTCAATGACACACACCATTCATCATGATCATGAGCATCTGATGAGGAGTCTGAAGATCATGTGATGAATGGATCACCTACCACATCAACCGTCAGACCGTCCTGCGGCTCCAGAGCTGCTGCTGCTGCTGCGGTCACTTCCTGTGACTCCACCGCTGCTTCCTGTGTGACCTGAAGCAACACAGATAAACACAAACGATGGAGCTGAACTCAGTTGAGTTGTGAATGCACTACAAAAAAGGATTTTTCCATTTAGTATTTTTGTCTTGTTTATTAAGATATTAAGTCTTGTTTTCTGAAAAAGTTATCAACATTTTGTTAGCTCTTGCTTAAAATGAGAAAAAAATTATGCCACTGGGGTAAGAAAAATAATCTTAATTTAAAGGAAAAACAAGATTATTTGTTACCCCATTGGCAGATTTTTTTCTGGTTTTAAGCAAAAACTAACACATTTTTTTTTTGATATTTTTTTAATGGAAAACAAGACAAAAATACAAATTTTTTTGCAGTGTGGGACTTTCTGTTTAACAGTTAATAACCAGTTTGTGCTTGTGCTGAACATCCAGATCCCATCACGTGTGCTAATTATTTTTAATAATAATTAATTTAAAAACACAAAAATCATGACCAGGAGTTTTGATCATAAATGGCTGCAAGAAATGTAAAAATTAAATAAATAATTAAATGTGAGGTTTGTATATAATATATGATTATATATAGATAATATATTAATATAGATAATATATGATACGATATAAATAAATAACACTCAAAAAGATATATAAGACATTTAAGAGGCAGTCTTTGCAAAAAAGTGTTATGCTATTTTTCTTTAATAATAATTGATTATAAAAAATCATAGCAAGGAGTTTTGATCATCATATAAGTACTACAGAAATTACATAAATTAAGAAATATTTTTTTGTGAGATTTATAATAATGAAATTGGAAAAAATTTAATTAATTACATAAAAATAATATATGGAAAATGTAATATATATATAAAAAATTCTAATATAATATAATATATAAAAGAATAAATGAAATAAATGAAATATAAACTGAAAAAGTTAAACATAATACTCAAAAAATAAATCTATATGTAAATAAATATAAAATACATTTTAAATAAATAAATACATAAATGTTTTATAAATAATATATAATATAAATCTCATAAAAAGTTATATTTTCCCAAACACATTTTCTCTCTCTCACACACACACACACACACACACACACATATATATAAATCTGACCACTCAAAAAATTTTACAAATAAAATTAGTGCCACATTCTTTGAAAACAATTCTTATGAAAATAATTCTCCTCAATTCAGAAGGATGTTGAGAGAATTCTTCAGAAGCACAACACACAGATGCTGATCAAGGACAGGATTTTTCCCGTCTTTCCCTCTGTCTGGTTTTATGTAATGATTTTCCCTGATCTGAAGTGCTTAGAGCAGCTAAACGCCGGATCCCTGAGTGTTTCTGGAGCGGATGAACTCTGATTTTACTGCAGCCACAAAAACAAAATCAAATATAGCTGCAAGCAGCGATGGCGGGCCCAAGCCGTCAGTGCAAACGCCACCCCGGAGGCATCAGGAGAACGGTGCACAGCGGGCAATCAATAGGGCCCTGCGCCTTTCTGGCTTGGGCCCTAATAAGAGGCTTTCTGTCGACGGCAAATGGTTTGTCACTCTCGTCTGAAGCAGCTCCATTCAGATCCATTTCAAAGACCGGTTTCTTTTAAAAAACAGCCACAATTACAGAAATTACTCAGAAGAACCCACTTTAGCTGCAGAAGACGTGGATCTCACCTCGTCCGGCTCCAGCGGCTCGATCATGGGCGCTTCATCCAGACGTGGAGACCGCAGCGGAGACGAGGACAGACGCTTCTCCCACTCGGTCAGCCCCGTGTGCTCCGGTCCTCCCTCCAGGAACGTGCGCTTCAGCTCGCTGATGTTGGTCTGATGCTTCAGCAGCTCGTCTGGCGTTTGCTCGATCTCCTGAACAAACACAACAAGCAGAGATTCGTCCGTATTCCAGGCTCTGGTGCTGCTCGCTCAAAAATTACTGATCTTTCTTTCTATGAAATGAACGTACTATATTTTAGTTTGATCATTTTAAAAAATTTAATATTTAGCATTTTTAGGGGATTTAAAAATTGTATTTATGGAACAGTTATGATCCATTTATTACCTGTTAACCATTTTATGAGCATAGACCTGAAACTGTCAAAAATCTCGACTGCTTTGGAGCACAGATTTAAGATCGATCCCTTTTTAAAGAAGACACTATATATATATATATATAATTGGAGCACATTTTACAACAAAATACCATTGCAAAAATTCATATGTAATTCAATGTGTTACTTGCTGATTCTTTGTAATTATTTGTGAAATTTGCTAGTGATTTCTGAGTGAAAATTGTTTCTACACTAATTTTTTTTCAGTGTACACTAAAAAAAATTATATAGCATTTATTTTTGAAGCAATTTTCACTCAGAAACCACTAGTAAATTTCACAAATAATACAAAAATAGTAATTAACAAAGTAATTGAAGACTGAAATAGTATTTTCTTGTAAAACAGAATCTAATAATCTTTATTTACAATTTTGAAAAATCATTTAAGTGGAAAAAAAGTGTTTTAATATTTAAGTAGAGATTGTTGAATCTTACCAGCGTCTTTGCTTCAGATTCGTCCTCCTGATCCGACTGCACAAAAGACACAAAAAGCGTGAAATTATGACACCGATATGAAGGAATGAGACGTTTGGGATCAACAGGAGGCTGAACTCATTAACATCACAAGCTTAATGTTTCCGTCTCCAGAAGAACAATTATGATTATTGGCCATTATCAGATTAAAGTTTAATAAGAGCATCAACAGCTCTGCCGTATCTTAATTAGCAATCTAATTACTGTAATCGTTCATTGCATTCGTGTTTTTTCTGCCATGCACGAGTCTTCAGTCTGACGTCAGAGATCTGATCACGTCTGTCGTTATTATGTGAGGTCAGATGAGAAACCAGCTCAGATCACAAACCTCGGTGGCCGTTAATTCTCCATCGACAGCTGTGTCTGTGAAATCAGTCTGATCCAGAGAAAGCATGAACAGAGAGAGAAGCAGACCACGGTAAAACACGGTAATGTTACCATGGTTTCCTGCATGGAATGAGGAAAACATTGACATTAACCGTGCTGCCCGATATTTTTGTGGAAACCGTGATACATTTTATTTTTCAGGACTCACAGATGAATAGAAAGTTCGAAAGAGCAGCATTTATCTGAAATAGAAATCTTTTGTAACATTATAAATGTCTTTACTGTCACTGTTGATCAATTTAATGCGTCCTCGATGAATAAATGTGTTAATTTCTTTAAAAAAATGTGTCTATTTGTCTACAAACTAAATCATTTGAACTAAAACATGCATGATTTCCAAAGACTGGTCACACTTCAGGCATCATATCTTCCTCATATGTTAGTTATGAGCTGTTATTGATGATGATGTTTGATCAAACACCTGAGCTGTGCTTCAAATCAAGCTTTAAGGGAGTTAGTTAGGGTTAGTCAGGGTTAGTTTACCCATGTGTCCTGTCGGGCCGATGTCGGTGGGGTAGTTAGTGTTAGTCAGGGTTAGTTTACCCGTGTGTCCTGTCGGGCCGATGTCGGTGGGGTAGTTAGTGTTAGTCAGGGTTAGTTTACCCATGTGTCCTGTCGGGCCGATGTCGGTGGGGTAGTTAGTGTTAGTCAGGGTTAGTTTACCCATGTGTCCTGTCGGGCCGGTGTCGGTGGGGTAGTTAGTGTTAGTCAGGGTTAGTTTACCCATGTGTCCTGTCGGGCCGGTGTCGGTGGATTAGTTAGTGTTAGTCAGGGTTAGTTTACCCATGTGTCCTGTCAAGCCGGTGTCAGTGGGTTAGTTTACCCATGTGTCCTGTCAGGCCGGTGTCGTGGATTAGTTAGGGTTAGTTAAGGTTTGTTTACCCATGTGTCCTGTCGGGCCGGTGTAGGTGGATTAGTTAGTGTTAGTCAGGGTTAGTTTACCCATGTGTCCTGTCGGGCTGGTGGGTTAGTTAGGGTTAGTTTACCCATGTATCCTTTTCAATCCGGTGTCAGTGGGTTAGTTTACCCATGTGTCCTGTCAGGCCGGTGTCGGTGGATTAGTTAGGGTTTGTTTACCCATTTGAGCTGTCGGGCCGGTGTCAGTGGGTTAGTTAGTGTTAGTCAGGGTTAGTTTACCCGTGTCCTGTCAGGCCGGTGTCGGTGGGTTAGTTAGGGTTAGTTAACCCGTCCTGTCGAGCCGGTGTTGGTGGGTTAGTCAGGGTTAGTTTACCCGTGTGTCCTGTCGGGCCGGTGTCGGTGGGTTAGTTATGGTTAGTTTACCCGTGTGTCCTGTCGGGCCGGTGTCAGTGGGCTTGGCAGCGACAGTTCCGTGGCTTTCGTTATCTCGTCCTCTTCCTCCAGCACCGACACACTCTCCACCAGCACCGGTCGCGTCTCCTCACGCGTCTCCTCCACTTTCTTCTCCGGCGTTACCGTGGTGATGAGGTCACTTATGGCAATGCCTTTGGCTGTGCCGTACAACGCCGTACCCATCTCTACACACACACACACACACACAGTGTCAGTACTGCATCTGCTTTCAGAGTGAACACTGACTGCATTATATTACTGAGTTAAGACTGTAGAATTATTTTATTCTGTACATTTACTACGGCATCATGAATCTTTATGGTTGTGATGTATTAATTAAGCATAAACTCAGTTCATTATGACAACAAACACAGACACACACACACACACACACAAACCGCAACACACACACACACACACACAGCGCAGCACAGCACATCCATTCAGTCACATGTGAAGAGGTTAGACAGTCATTACAGAGGTCGTTTATGAGAACTAGTTTAATTATAATCACCAAAGAGAAGCTGGGTAACGAAAAGTTACCAAAAACTAAAAGACTGTTTCTGGTGCAATAAACCCTGACTAACGTCACACTGACGTGCACTTAAACATGCAGAATGACAATAAAAGCATGACTAAGCAGATCTCAGGGAATATAAATGAAATGTTTCTGGATATGGTGCTTTTAATGTCTGGAACTTCAAAAGTCAATTTTTACCACAAAGTTTGCAAAAGAGATCATTGTAACGTGTCTAGGATGTGATCATGATGGATTCACTGTGATTCAGTGTTTGTTGCTCTAAAAGCTCTAAAGAAGCCGTAATTACTGCTGATTGTACCGCAGTACAATACTGAGTGATTTCTACAGAAGAACTGCGTTTGAATATGATGCTGGTTAAGTGATGCAGTGCTAGTTTTCCTCATTTATGCCTGTAATATTGAACCTTGCATGAATCAATAAACAAGAACAATGATGCACACATGATGATGTTTCCGTGAGAACAGATACAGACTCATAAAACCCTGAAAGATCAACATTTCGGTTTATTTTAACCAGCCTCTTAGAGACATTCACAGACCCAGCCCTCTGACAGTGACGGACGCAGACCAGGGTCATTATAGTTAACTAACTGAAATAAACCACTTAATAAAATTATTAATAATTAAAAAAAACTATTAAAAAAATAATCAAAAAAATTATTGATAAAATAATTATCAATACACATGAGTTATTATTAATATAAATGATATGAAATAATTAAATATAATTATTAATAAAATATTAATATTAAAAATAAATAAAATTATTTTAAAATTAAATAAAAATTTTAAATAAAAATAAAACATTATTTCAGCAAGTTGCCAAAGCAACATTTCTCATTTTCACTTATTTTAACCTGATAATAACTAAAACTAAAATTGAAATAAAATGATTAAAAACTACATCAACATATATACAGTATATATATATAAACACACAACAAAAGTACTAAAACTTTAACTAAATTTAAAATAAAAATGTGAAATATAAAATTAAAACAAATTCAAAATATTATTAAAAGCATTAGTATATGATTGTAAAAAAACACTGACGCAGCAACAGCATGTGCAAAATCAAAGGCATCTGAAGCAGAAGCGCTAGAGCACCAGCGCATGCCTGCCGCATGCACACGCAACCTCAAACTATCAGAATCAAACAAGCAGACGGAGAGGCTTCTGTATCTACAAGCGTCAGGGATACAGAGAAACGTCTCTACCTGTTGGTCTAGTGCCATTTACATTGACTGTCGCCGTGTTGACTGGCGTCCGCTGAGCTGAGGAGGTTCACACACACACACACACACACACACGTCTGAGCAAACACAGTATCACAGACACTGACGCACACGTCAGACTAGATCACATGCAAAAACATACAGTGACCTGAAAGTGTCTGTTCACCTCAGTCACGTTTATAAAAGTCTGAATTCCTTCATCAGATCAAGTGCAGGATCGTTTCTCTTCTTCAATGTGTTTGAATCAGGGCTATTATAGTAAACTGAAACTAAACCTAATCCCATAACAAACAACGTGAAATAAACTAAATGCCAACTGAAATTAAAAAAAAAAATTTATTAAAAAAAAACTTAAACTTATTTTATTTCAGCTAGTTGCCAAAGCAACATTTTTCATTTTATTGTAACTTAATGTACTAAACAACTAAAACTGAAATAAAAATTAATAAAAAATAAGTAGACATGTTTTAAAAAACACAAAATAAAAAAAATAAAAAAACACTGTTGTATAAAAGTTTAACTAAAATTAAAATGGAAAACATAAAAATAAAAACGAATTCAAAACATTTAAGAAAATAGTAGTATCTCACCGATACTAAAATAACACTGGTTTGAATGATCTGGTGTTTTGATGATTTTTAGTGGATGCATGAAGTTCGGAGGAACCAGAGATAGAGAGAATCCCATTAATTATCTTCATTAATTACATTGTTTTCATCTTCAGCTCTACATCTATTGGTTTAGCAGTTCAAACACAACAAACTATTGTTTGGAACATTTTCTGATTAAGTGTGTTTGTGCATGTTTATTCACAACGAATTTAACTTGCATTGATATTTTATATCTGATGCAGTGATATTCAGACATTTATGTGTGTGACTGAAAAGGCCAAATACTTTATAAGGCCACTGTACCAAACACTTGAGCCAGTTATTATCTAGATAACAAGTATTCTCTAACTATTAGTCAAAAAACAAGAGAGTAACTTAAAAAACCTTTCACCTTAAAGTATATAAACCCATCGTGATGATGTTGTATTAATTTAATCAGACGTTTAACGAGAAGATAATTAAAGATGCAGCAGACTCTCTACACTGAACACATCCAGCCTGTTCATTCATACTATGAGTCACGTGTGTTAGTATTCAGTAATGCGCTCTGAGACCGCCGGTTTTATGCTGCAACACAACAGAAATTCTCCAATTTAACCAAAAGCAGGAAATGAAACAAACTCGTTCCAGGCCCCAGGAGCCGAGATTACAGGTTAATGAGCCGAAAATCCCTGTCCTGCCGCGAGCCTCGCTTCTGTCTGCAAACACTTTCATAACAGAAGAGAAAATAAAACTGGGCTGTTCAGAGAAAACAGACGTCTGCTAATGACTGATACTGAGGATGAGGAGAGCAAACAGGACATGAAGCAAAGCAGATGACAGACACTCAAACTCCAGTGAGACTCAATGAGATAATGACATATCTGCAGATACACAGATAGAACGATAAAATGATAGACAGACAGACGACAGACAGACAGATAGATAGACAGAGACAAACAGACAGACAGACAAACATACAGACAGACGACAGACAGACAGACAGACAGACAAACATACAGACAGACGACAGACAGACAGACAGACAGACAAACATACAGACAGACGACAGACAGACAGACAGACAGACAAACATACAGACAGACGACAGACAGACAGACAGACAGACAAACATACAGACAGACGACAGACAGACAGACAGACAGACAAACATACAGACAGACGACAGACAGACAGACAGACAGACAAACATACAGACAGACGACAGACAGACAGACAGACAGACAAACATACAGACAGACGACAGACAGACAGACAGACAGACAAACATACAGACAGACGACAGACAGACAGACAGACAGACAAACATACAGACAGACGACAGACAGACAGACAGACAGACAAACATACAGACAGACGACAGACAGACAGACAGACAGACAAACATACAGACAGACGACAGACAAACAGACAGACAGACAGACAGACAGATGACAGACAGACAAACAAACATACAGACAACAGACAAACATACAGACAGACAGACGACAGACAGACAGACAGACAAACATACAGACAGACGACAAACAGACAGACAGACGACAGACAGACAGACAAACATACAGATGACAGACAGACAGACAGACAGACAGACAAACATACAGACAGATGACAGAGAGACAAACATACAGACAGACAGACAGACGACAGACAGACAGACAGACAGACAAACATACAGACAGACAGACGACAGACAGACAGACAAACATACAGACAGACGACAAACAGACAGACATACAG